TTTAACATTTAAAAAAATCTAAAAATTTCTATGCATTTTATTCACATTCAATTAAGTAAAACATAAGTAAAAATCTGAGTATACAAAGAAGGACCATAAAGATCCAACATTCAACTGATAATCAAACACAGTGATAAGCTACTCATGGAGAAATTCTAAAAATGAAATTGCATCTAACCAAAAATCTATTATAAGCATCAGACTAATCATGACTAGTTAGAATTTTTCTTAAAATCAAGGATAAGAAAGTGATCTTGCTCTAATTTTTCTTAAATTATAACAGTATTCTGGAGTATTTATATGCATACAACAAAAAGGGATAAAAAATACTGGTTACAAAAGAAATTATCAAACCAGTATTATTTTCAGGTAATATTGTAGCTGGAGTTATCTCTAGTCCTGCCTGGGTCCGCAGCCACTCAGACCCAAATAAACACACAGACGCTTATATTATTTAAATTGTTTGGCCTAATGGCTCAGGCTTCTTGCTATCTAGTTCTTACATCTTAAATTAACCCATTTCTATTAATCTATCTCTTGCCACATGGCTTGTGGCTTACAAGTACTTTACATATTACTTTTCATTGCAGTAGCGGCTGGCAGCATCTCCTTACCCAGGTACTTCCCAGAAGTCTCCTCTCTTTGCCCCACCTATACTTCCTGCCTTACACTGGCCAATCAGCGTTTTATTTATCAATCAATAATAGCAACACATTCACAGCATACAGATATCCACAGCATAATATATATGTTTATCCAAAGAAAATTTAAAGTGCATATAATCTCCAACACAACAACCCTGTACATCACCCAGTTTTTGCCAGTCTACATAGGATATATGATCAAAAACCGATCATAGCAATATTTCTTTTAATGATAGGAAAGCTAATCTCAATGCCCATCACTAAAAGAATGAATAATTGTGATATATTAATACACTGGAAAACTACATAGGAATGAAAATGCATTTTAAATAATTAATGAATCATAACTAATATTTAAAATAGCAATGACACTGCATATATACCATTTAAAAACATGAAATATATCAATTATAAGAGTGTACATGTCTGATATAATATATAAAGAAATGAACTGAAATTATAATCGTCAACTTTTAGATAGTGGCACCTGTAGTAAAGGAAAAGAGGAATTTAATTGATAATGTTCTATAGTATTTCTTAGGCCAAATAGAAGGCTCTCAGGATTGTTTTGCTCTTTTTCTTAACTTTAAGAGGGAAGGATTAAAGCTACAACTTTAAAAAAAGGAATTTAAAGTTAGTGTTTGTTTGGCATAAAGTATGCATTCAATAAATTATATTATCATTTACTAAGTCACCTATTTTAATAGAAAAATCTATTTAGAAAGTACATCAAAAGTTCAAGTTTGTCTTTAAAGCATTATATGAAACTATTATGTGCTATTATACTGCTTTTCTGTATTATAGCTTTCCAAAAATAATTAGAATTCAAAGAATTTACTGTATATAAAGAAGTCTTAGTTTAAAAAAGAATTCTTATTACAGAAAATCTGTGACAGTTCACTATTTAAACTGATAGTAAGTTCTCTAAATACAGTAGTTCACAAGCTACTTTATTACAAATGCCACCAGCCAGATTATATAATTCTTGATGAATAGAAGGAGAGGTTGAGCCGGGCGGTGGTGGCGCATGCTTTTAGTCCCAGCACTTGGGAGGCAGAGGCAGGCAGATCTCTGTGAGTTTGAGGCCAGCCTGGGCTACCAAGTGAGTTCCAGGAAAGGCGCAAAGCTACACAGAGAAACCCTGTCTCAAAAAACAAAACAAAAAGAGGTTGAAAAAAATACAGGTAAGAGGAAGAAAACAAAAGTGTTTCAGGGAGAGTGTTGGGCTCTCTTGAGAGATGGCTCAGTTACTGTTAGCATTTACCACTCCTACAGAGGAGCAGAGTTCAGTTCCCAGCACTCATGCCAGGTGACTCACTATCTCTAACTCTAGCTACAGGGGTTCTGACACTCCTTTGGCCTCTGTGAGCACTTGCACTCATGTTCACATACCCAGACACCACATATACACACACATTCAAGTAATTACAAATGAATCTTTTTTAAAGTGTTCCACTAATAGCTGTCCTAGCATAAAACAGTGGTACTAATACCACAGACCATGTATTTGCTAAATTACACTATTATGCTTTTACTTTTCTGGCTTTTTAAGTTTCCAGCTCCTTGATTACTCCTGTATGTGTTTCAGGGAGGTAAATTTGGGTCAAAGAATCGAGTGAGATCATACGAACTAAAAGCAACTTTAGAGATAATTTTACTAATTTGAAAACATAAACCTATAGATGGATAAGCATGGAGTTAACTAATGAATACAGAAAAAAGAGGAACTCAAATGCAGTTTATCTCTTAGTTTATATATTGCATTTTAACTACTACAGGGCATTGTTCAGAATTGGCCTTTAAATGGTATGGAAAGGAAGACCCCAAAATAACATTTAATACTTTTTGTAAAAGACAGCATTCTGTTGGTTCCACAAGCCATAAATTACATATGCACTGGCAAGGAACTAATTTAATGATACTGTAAACACTGGAACTAATTCCAGTAGAGGCTACACCTTCCATTGAATCTTCAGAAAGGTGTTTTTAACTGATTAGAATTTCCTTGACTATTGAGAGCTTGGAATTTTGTAGGTCCGGGGCCTAATTACAATTTCTCTTGGGCTATCTTTAGTCCCCTGAACAGCCATTCCTTGCTCACCCCTGTCTGATCTAACATCCTGTGACTAACAGATAAAACCTTTTGAAATGTATTTAGAGATCAGCAGCTTCCACCAACCAAAACGCTGAGTGCTTTCAGATAGATTTAAGGCCTATAGTTGAGATTTTCCTTTGTTCTAACCCACCTATCTGATGTCTCCACTGATATATTGTAAAAAAGCCTCGATTTATAACTTTCTTCTGTTACTATAAAAAAGGCATTAAACTATCTCCACATTGGAACATGGAGTTTGGGGTAACCTGAATCTATGTTCCTAGGCCATGGTTACTCATATTTAACTTCAGAATAACTATGCCATCCATTTTAAAGTGAAAATGGTTGTTTATGTTGATAGTATCTTGATAAGAACACACCAAAGTGTATTTATTAATGCTGGCAAGTCTGATACTAGTATGTAACTCATTTTGTTTTAGGATTTAAAGTGATTCATAAGATCTGCAATGACTAACAGCTATTTTTAAGGAGCTAGCTATTTTTGTGTGCAATACAGCCCCAGGTGATAACAGCCCAGAATTCCCTTTTTGAACTCAGAGTATGTCCAGTACTTATTATCTACATCATTGGTCCGTAACCTCCTTCAAGTTAGAATGCCTAGAAAAAAAATCATGGTTACAGTGATCCTCAGAAAAAATGCACATAGTAATACTCAACACTGTGCACGCAATTTTAAAACATTTAGTAACTCCACACACATTAGCATTCATCTTGAATTAGTAGGAGTTGCCTTGCATTGGTATTTATCTGCATGTATGTGTGACCTCTGGTCTCCAGATCAAAAGCTGCTCAAAGATGGAAGTGATATGTTTAACCTCATGTGTCCACTATATAGGTATATGGTTTAGTCTATTGTCTCCAATCCTTTCAAAATTTCTAGGAAACGAGCTAACAATTTTTAAGCTATTAAAATATCTCATACTTCAGTGTATGTTAAAAAATACAATTTGGTAGCCACTACCATTTCCTTTTATCTTAAAAATACCTTTCTAGGGTTGAAAAGTCAGATAATATGCTTTCCAAATGAGTCTAGTGGGTGACATAGGATGTACGCCATGCCCTAATTCAGCTTTTTTCCCCCTTTGGAACTGGGGAAAAAAACTGATCTTCTGGCTCATAATTCAGTGCTCTTCATTTTACTTATAATGTAAAAGTACACTACATTCACTATTTTTTTTAAAGTGCAGAAGAAACTGGGCCTTTCTTAGTCATCTATTTATCATTTCATGAAATGACCTATCTACACCCTTCCTCAAATGATACCATTTTAATTTTTAGCGTATTTTGGCTAGTGTTACAGGTTATGTTAGAAATATTTTTCGTGTGACATAAAATGTAATCTGTAATAAAATGTTTATCTATATTTCAGGCTTCTAAACTAAACGAAGCCAAAAGATATTCTAACATGAGCTACTGAACAGTTACCTACATTTTGTCTTTTTGCCACCTTGAACTGGAAAAAAAGCAAATTATTGTATTTTCTCTAATGCCAACCTCTGGAAGAAGTAAGAATTACAGCAACATGGAGTTGCTGTGATGGAATTTTAGTAGCGAAAAATAAATTTCATATTCGTGACGTCACCAGGCAGCTTTATTCTTAGCCCCTACTAATTGTCTAAGTGGCCACACAGGTATGGCTGATGGATTTCATGGCTTCAGGAATGACCTTAAGTTTCCTCAAGTGTTAAATTAGCACGCAGCTGGATCAGAAAGCAAGCATAGTTAGTTCCGAGGGCCCCTAGAAATTGCTCAACCTCATCACCAGTTACCTGCATTCAGAAAAGGGCAGCTTGCCAAAAGCTATTTGTCCACGTAGTGCATTCAAAACCTACATCTCCGCCCAAAAGCGTAGACAAACTCCAGCCGCCTCCCCTGTTCTGGCACCATGCCTTGTCCATTTCAAAGATGCCAAAATTCACTGATAAGGCAGGTGACAGAAGTCCTCAACAAGAGGCGGTATGGGCTCAATTATCTCCTTCTGTCCACAGGCTTCCCTGACCCTCCCCACATTCTAGGATGGCGGCGGCGGCCGAGGCGGCAGCGAGGAGGAGGAAAGAAAAAAACAAGGGGGAAAAAAAAGCCAAACCCAGCTGCCAGAGCCCACCCGTCCGCGCTGGAGCGCCCTCACTCCACTCGCGGAGCAAAGAGGTCAAGCCCCTGGGCGTGTCCCCCGCCCCTGGCTTCGCCCTCCTCCGGCCCCCAGGGCCCCCCGGTAGCACCTCGACCATCGGAAAGGATACTCTCCATGTTCGACATGATCTCCCGAGTTCGCGGGGCGGGGAAGCGAGGGAGGGGCCGGTAACACTCGGGAGAGGGGCAGGGGCGCCCGCGGGTCGTGGGGCGAGGGTCGCTAGGGAGTGCGGAAGGCGGCGGTCGTTCCCGGCTTCTGGGGTTCCTAGCCCACTTCCTGTTTCGGCTTTGAACCCGTGGTGGGTGGAGTCCCGCGAGCCAGAGAGGCGGGACTGGGACGACGCCAAAATGGCTGCAGTGAGTGCTTCAGTTAGGAAGGGCTCCGGTCGCTTGGGGGCGATGGAGCTCCGAGAGCCAAAGCTTAGGTCCCTCCCCCTCAGATGCTTCACGTGCGCTCAGGATAACACCGCTCTTAACCTGGTCCGGCATCCCACCAGCCTTCTAGTTCTTTCTTTTGTCAACCGGGACTCTGCTTAACCTTCCGCCCCACCTCGTCCCTCAGATTTCACACTATTCTTGGCGCCCCCATCCCTTTTTCTCAGAGCTTAAGTCTTAAAGGATGAAGACAAAGGTATAGGACTTTTCAAGTACTTTTAAAAATTTCTAACAGTGTAAAATAACGGCTCGAGGGGTTACTGTGGCTTGTAATGTTGAGATTTTAAAAAGGATCTGAGCCTTAGAGTTTTAAACTAGAAGGGGAAGGGGGAAAAGTAAGGCTCCGCTTACAAGGTAATGTTGCTACAAAATACCTTTTCATACTAGTTGGGGTATTTTATTTTTCTTTAGCATAGATGATGTGTGATATAAAATTAATATAAAGTCTTTATAATGGGTGGGAGTGGGTTATTCTAAGCAGTAGATAGTGGTTGGCTTTTTTTTTCCCCATGCAACTTACGAAAATGTCCAGAGGTGAGTTTATTAGATGTCCTCTTTGGACTTAGGAAAAGAGGGAATCTTAAGCATTCTTGTGGCGTTTCAATTTCATTATCATAGAAATTACATGTACTAAGATATTACTTTGAAAGTTGGTATAATTATCATAATTGATGAATCTCAGAAGTTTGGCATTTACTGCATCTTTAAATTCAACCTGTGGAAACGTGTGAATGTCATACACTTTTTATCCTTTAGGATTATTTCTTTTTGAAAAAACAGGCTCTAAAAGTGAATATTTTATTCTTTTGTGTTAATAATGGTGGTTGGTCATAAGTTTCAGACTGTTTTCTAACTAGGAACTGAACTGTTGATGCTTCTTTAAAAGAAAAAGAAAATACTTTTTCAATACAAGGCTTTGGGGACGTACAATCTAGGAATCATTTTAATAGGCAGAACAGTGTAAAGATTATTTTTAGTTCTTTATCTCACTTTATAGTTGAAGAACAATACTTACATTGTAAAACTTAAAACTTTGGAAATTTAATCAGTTTTCCATGTGAGTTAAACAATTGTATTTCATTGCTGGAAAACTAAGTTTGGGGGATGAAGGTAAAGATATATGTTTTAAAAGACTTTGCCTTAACACTTACTATTTTTAACATCATACTTTCAGTAAAACCATAGAACAGCTTACCAAAACTTAAACATTTCTCGGTTTTAAAAAACTGTGAAGTTGTTAAAGTTACATGGATGTAATGTATAAAAATAAATCTTAAATTTTTTTTTCAAATTATAGAATTTCCCAAGAGGCATCTTCTTGGGATAAGATCATATTTAAAATAAGGTATTTGTTTAGAGACAGTATTTGCTGTTGCTGTCTGTCTTTAATTTTAAAAAAAAACCTTGTTATGTAGCCTGTACTAAGCTTATTATGTTTTTTATTCTTTATAAGATCTTTGCTGTTTTGAATCCCAAAGTTACCTTCATATTTTCCTTGAATATCTGAGTTTTTAAAGTGAGTTTTATAAAAAGAAAAAGTATTTAATTTAGGCAGAGAAATTAAACTGCTTAAAGTGTATGTGTGTTTAATTACAATGGGTGCTGTTGTAAGAAATGGCTATTAGGATTATAAAGCATAATTAGAAAATAGACTATAGCTTGAAATGTTTTATTAAGTGTCTGGTACATTTTAAATAGTATTTCTAAAATATGTGCACCACAATTTTCTGTGTAGGACATATAAAGTAATTCATTTGTGACTTGTCACCCAATTTAAAGAATGAGACCAATTTTCTATGAATTCACCTGTGTACACTTAGTACAATTTTCTAACTCCAGTCCTCTTTTCAGAAGCAGCCTCTTATCTTAGTTCATGTATAATTTCCCCATTAAAAAAATATTTTTGCTATAGTATTTGCATTTCTAATCAATATGTTACAATAGCCTGCTTCTGAATTTTCTTATATAAATGAAATCATACTGCTTTGTGCTCCTGTCTTGCTTCTGTAGCTCATCATAAAGTTCCTCAGTTGTGTTAAAATATATATTGGTGATGGATTTTTGCTGCTGTAAAGTATTCTACTGCATGAATTTATCATAATTTATCCATTTCCCTAATGATGGTAATTTGGGCTGTTTCTAGGTTGATTTAACCTCTAGGAATATATGTGTTCATTTAACATATTATTTTGATGAACGGTGACTTTTAAAATGCCTAGTAATGTTTGTAAAGAAATAATTTTGTAAACTTAAGCAAATTTATTTACTCGTTTTTATTATATTTATATTGCCTTTCATTTTGAATAACCTTGGTTTTTGCCAATGTTCCTGCCTTTCTACTGGGTGTAGCAAAACCTACTACCCTGTCTCATCAAATAGGTTGCTTCCTTTTACTATGGTTATCCATAGCTACTTTTGGGGCCAAGCTAACTATAAAGATTTAAATATAGCAACCTAAGTCACATGTGGATAAGTAAAATGTGGTTAATTTCATCTGCTTGTACTTGAAAGGATGCTCTGTCACTTCTATGACTTTCTGCTGGAGTAATGGAGCTGAAAAGAAAGAATGAATGCTGTGTCTTAAGATGATTCAGTAGCCATTGTGTGTGTTAAAACTTGGCCTATACACAGCTAATGTGGGAAATTATAATAATTCCTCAGGAAATTGAATGGTTTTCATGATTAATCATGGTTAGTTTTATAACTGAGTTAGTTACATGAATAAGCATTTTAAAGGAAAATATTTATAAAATAATCTTAACATAACCACTAAAATTTCAATATTTGATTTGACTGCTTTGTGACAATGTTTTGTGACATTTTAGCAAATGATTTTGAAGTAACAAGAAAATTTAGTGGTTCATTACAGCTAAACCCCATTGAAATGAAAAGAAAGGAATGCTCCAGGAATGAGAATAGTGTAGCTTTATATGATGTTTCTCGGATTTTTCTGTCCTTGTTAAAATTGCAGGTGGATAACCCTAACTTATATAGATTCTGATAGAATAAATTTGGAGCTGGACCAAAAATTCTATGTTTTGCCTGTTTTTACAAAGTAGTAATGAATAATCTAATGTATAATCATAGATTCTTTATTGAATGTAATAGCTTAATTTAGGTGAAATTTAACAGTTTACAAAGTGTCTCGTATTATTTCTTTTGATAGTTTATATTCTATGGTAACCTGGGCAGGTATTATCAACATCTTTACCAATTATAAAACATGACAAAATAACAGGAACAATAACTGCCCCCTGGGAAAAAAAAAGCTCAAAAAAGATAATGTACTTGAGTAAGTTTGGAACACTCACTCTCCTGGGTATCTACTGTAGCTCTTTTGACTGTGTACAGCAGCTTGGCTGGACATGAGTGCAGGAGGAATCACAAGTGAGGCCACTTCCGTTGCTTGTTTTTTCTGTGTTAGGTGCCCATTTACTATAAGAGGAAAATGCAGCATCTCCACTGGTGTGACTCTCTATAGGGAAATAAGTTCAGTTCCTGAAATGCTAGAGAAGTATAAACTGAGATGCTTTCCTGTTCATAATGGAAAACCTTTTTGTTCTGCCATTTCAGATGTCATTTGCAAATTGTACTAGCAAAGAACTATTCAAGTAACTGATGAAAGAGATTAGAGCTACTGAAGAGATAAAGCTCTATTTGCTAAGGCAAATAGAAGACCGGATGAAAAATAGTTTAAACACAAGCAATATGGTCGGTCAGGCGTGGTGTCACAGTCCTAGAAACCTAGCACTCAGCAAAATATGGTCAGGCATGGTGTAACAAGACTAGAAACCTAGCACTCAGCAAAAATACAGAAAAAAAAAAGTAGTGTCATAGGCCTAGAAACCTAGCACTCAGGATCAGAGGCAAGAAACTACTGCAAGGTTGAGGTTAGCCTGGAACACATAGTAAGGTCTAGGCCAACCAGGTCAACATAGCAAGATGATTTCAAAAAAAAATTATCCCCCTGAAATAAATGAATAACACTAACACTAACAAAACTAATACAAACAAAAGGAATGTGTTTGATTGATTGACATAGGTGACCTAAAAACATCATTCAGTTTATGATTAGGAAATGAGAAATGAAGATTCACATGACTATAAAGAGGTAAAAATAAAGCCAGGCTGGTAGTGCATGCCTTTAATCCCAGCACTCAGGAGGCAGAGGCAGGCGGATCTCTGTGAGTTTGATGCCAGCCTGGTCTACAAAGCGAGTTCCAGGACAGCTTGAGCTGTTACACAGAGAAACCCTATCAGAACCCCTCCCCAATGTAGATATTTATTCTCTATGTGTTAAGATTTCATTCTTATTTAAATAATAAAGGGTGATATTTGATGATTATATATCTACATATCATCAGAAGAATACTTTTTCAGTAAACTCTGATTTTCTTAGAGCAATCAAGACTTTAAATTTTCCCTCTGTCAGGAAACCTTTTGAATACTTGAGTGATCAAAATAAAATTGCACTATCACTAAAAGATTTGATTGATACTTAAAAGATGATATGATAAGGAAGAATAAAGCATTTGTTGTTATTAGAGATACTTGAGGATGGTTCCACATTAATTTTAGAAATTGCATTATTGAGAAATTGTTTAATATAGGCATAAATGTGCTGAGAAACCTGTTATTAAATAAACCTTTTTCTTTATTATTTTATCATGCAGGCAGTTTGAAGAAACTTTTTAAGTGGAGGAGTAAAAAGAGACTTTTTGAGAAGTGCAAATGAAGACAAAGTAAGAAAAGATATCTCTTAAAAACTATCTTATATTCTTATATTCCATTATAGTGGCCTCTGAACTTGTCCATTTACCTATAGATAATGAATTTCTTTATTACTTTGTTATAACCATGCAATTCTTCACCCTATACTGATTCTCAAGTCAGAACTCTATCAGTCATTATCATGGCTCTTATTACTTTATCTAGTAAGTTAATTAGAGCATTGCCTAAAATTTTTATAAATTTTTGAGACCTTTTTTTTTATTGCATTCAGTAATTTGGGAATATATATTATATTCAGTAATTATATTCAGTGATTTGGGGGATATTATTATTGTACAATATGGTCCACAAATTTTATCTCTGGACAAAGATTTCTCAGATGTTGCTATAGGCATTTGAGGTGGGACAGTTCTTTTGGAGATGGGGCTATCTTCTGCAGGATAAGATGCTCAGTATCATTTCTGTCTTCAGTCTGTGCATACCAGTAAACCTCATTCCAAGTTATGATAGCCACAGATGTCTCCAGACATCACCAGATATTTTCTCAAGGACAAAATCACTCCTAGTAGAGAGTTGCTTAATCTCACTTTACAATTCAGTAACATTGCTTCTATATTAGGCCATCAAGATGGACAACAGCAATGGCAACAGAAACAGATTTTATTGTGGTTTTTCTCAGACATATCACAATAAAAACAAAGCAATATTATCATGTCTAACTTTTGAAATTATATATATATATCTATAACTAAAGTTGGAAAAGTTAGAATCCACACGTGTGTGTGTGTGTGTGTGTATGTGTGTGTGTGTGTGTGTGTGTGTGTGTGTGTGTGTGTGTTATGTGCATGTACACCTATGTGTGAATGTGTACCATGGAGGCCCAAAGTTGGCCTCAGGTGTCTACCTTATCACTCTTTATTGAGGCTGAATCTCATGCTAAACCAACAATTCTTACTAATTTCTGCTCGTCTAGCCAGCCAGCTTTCCCCCAGAGATCTTCTGTCTTTGTTTCCTGTTTGCTAGGATTCATATAGCTACCATGTCTGTCTAGCTTTTAGTTGGATTCTGGGGATCCAGACTCTAGTCCCCTTGCTTGTGCAGCAAACACATTATCCATGGAGCCATCTCCCCAACCTAGGAAAAAGATTTTGAAGTCATCCTAACTTCTGTTTCCTTTGAAGGCTGTGGAAAGAACAGGGCATTTAGAGTCATTCATTCAAAATTAGATTTCACTTAATTCATAGTTAATCATCTTCAATAGTTTATTTAACAGGTATAGATTCTGATTTTGTTTGCTAATGTATGGAAATTTTGATAGTTTTATTTTTAGGATTAGATGTTATAGTATTAGTATTCTTAAATTAGAAAAACCTGAGAAATCATAACAATCTTTGCAGCTCCAAATCTAGATTATCCATTATTAGGAATGATACTTGTAAAGAAAAGTGAAAACACATGGTGAATTAGTACTTAGAAAAGTTAGACATTTCTGTTACTCATATTTCGACCAAAAATTAATGGCAGGCGGATCTCTGTGAGTTCGAGGCCAGCCTGGGCTACCAAGTGAGCTCCAGGAAAGGCGCAAAGCTACACAGAGAAACCCTGTCTCGAAAAACCAAAAAAAAAAAAAAAAATTAATGTCTAGAGAGGCCTAGAGAAGGCCAGTTAAACAAGTACTATAAGGGCTTTAATCAAATACAATAGACTTTTAATAATATATATGGAAAGAACAGATATCAATTTATTGAATTAAAGTGAATAAAATTAGTAAGACTATGTAGAACATATTTGAATTCATATTCATACAATCTCCACAAATAAAAGTACATAGTCTTTTTATAGCATATTCCTTCTGTATTATATGATTGTCTTTTGATTTATGAGTAATAATTTATGGAAATTAAAAAATACTTCTTAGTTTTATTTTTGTATATATGGGTGTGCCTACATAAGTTTATGTTTACCACGTGTGTTCAGGTTCCTATGAGGCCAGATGATATTGGATTCCCCTGAGCTGAAATTACAGGAAATTCTGAGCCTCCGGATGTGGGTTTTGGGAACCAAAATAAGGTCCTCTTCAAGAGCTTTTTTTTTTTTTTTGGTTTTTCGAGATAGGGTTTCCCTGTGTAGCTTTGCGCCTTTCCTGGAACTCACTCTGTAGCCCAGGCGGGCCTCGAACTCACTGAGATATGCCTGCCTCTGCCTCCTGAGTGCTGGGATTAAAAGCGTGCGCCACACCGCCTGGTGTAGTAAACACTTTTAACTGCTGAGCCATCTCTCCAGCCTGGAAAAAAATAAAATATAGAAAGTATAAAGAATTATTTACAAGCCATTTTAATTCTTTCTAAGAGATTAAAAGTTATTTTTTTATTTCAAGTACTTTCCTTTAAAAAATGAAGCACCATAATGAGGTTAAAGTTCATTGACTACACTCATGGATATTCTTAGCTCTCCCTCCTGCAACAGATATTTTCATAAAGTGTTATATATTATTTTCTGTATACAAGTGTGTATTTTAAAACAATATATTTTGTGTGTGATTTAAAATGTGAATATTTTACTTAGGTGTCTAGTTGTCAAACCATTTTTTAAAAATTATTTTGCAATCTACCTATATAATTTATCAACATTTATATGTAATCCACCAGAAATATTGAAATTCGTATTTATTTGTTCACCCTTTTGTGATCATTGGGCTTGCTCTCCTTTTTATCAGTGCTGCTTCAGTTACTCACTGTGGAATGTGTCTCACTACATATTTGCAAGACTTCTATGAGGTATATACTAGAATATTGAGACATATGGTAAAAATAACTACATTAAGGAAAGCATGTTGTTTGAATGTTAGTCTTTTAATAAAAAACCCAGCCAGATATCAAGGTGAAAGCTGAAAGATCAGAGAAGCAGAGCAGCCAGCCACTAGTTCTTACCTCTACGAAATGCTCAGATTAAAGAGAGTGAGTTCCTGTTTCCTCACGCCTTCTATACTTTTCTCTGCCCTGCCACATTACTTCCTGCGATTAAAGGCATGTGTGCTTCCCAAGCAAAGGCATGAGATCTCAAGTGCTGGGATTAATGGTGTGTGCCACCACTGCCTGATGTCTGTGTCTAATCTGGTGGCTGGCTCTGTCCTCTGATCCTCAGGCAAGTTCATTAGGGTATACAATATATTACCACAAAAGTAAAGCAAATATTATATAATGTGGTAAAAAACGTTTTCTTGACTCAAAACTAAGATTCAGGAAATAGTTAATTTCACATTAATTTTAAGGAAACTCTGGCTTTCATTTCAAAATGTTATCTCAGAAGTTAGATATACCTGCTTATTTCAAGAACACTAAAATGAAATATTTTCCTACTATATGTTCATTACTGAATAACTTACACATAAGAAACAGAGTGTGTTGTCTGTACAAACTATGGGTCTCATCTAGAATGGCTTTTATTTGGATGTGGTTCATTCATTCTGATAATGAAAGATTATCTCTAAGAAGCAATATATTAGACAAAGTTTTGTAATGTATAAGCCTATCAGGTTAATTGTCTATTTCATTCAAGTAGCCCTGATATAAAGAGTTTGTCATATATTTTCATCCTCTCCAAAGCACACAATTTTAAAGGCCATGTTAGTGGGTTATCACAGGTTTACTGAAAGTTAATATTTCCATGTATAACCATTATGTTCTATAATAAGTATTTGAGCAAGACATTAAAGTTAAATACTATTACCATAGTATTAAAATAAAAGAGGCTTTCAATTAAAAGATAACTTGAATATAGGGATTTATGAAATATATAGAAGTATGAGAAGCCAAGCTATGGATATTCTTTTTCAGAAATAGCAGCTATTTCTTTAAGTATTTTTATCTGTCTTCTATAGAAGTTATTTTGAGATAATCACTTTTGCAATACAGTGTCTCAAATTCCATACTTAGTCAACAAAGGTCTAAAGTTTTATTTCACAGGTGATTGTGTAATTATATTGACTGAAAACAAGCAAAAATGTAAATTTATATGGTAACTAAATTCAACAGTGCTTTTTTTTTTTTGGTTTTTCGAGACAGGGTTTCTCTGTGTAGCTTTGCGCCTTTCCTGGAACTTACTTGGTAGCCCAGGCTGGCCTCGAACTCACAGAGATCCGCCTGGCTCTGCCTCCCGAGTGCTGGGATTAAAGGCGTGTGCCACCACCGCCCGGCCAACAGTGCATTTTTAAGGCAAGTCCTTACTTAAAACTTAATAAGAATTAGACAATGATTCATATTATATGAAAAACAGTAACCTTAGGTCCTAGGGATAGCTCAGTGGTATAATGCTTGTCTAACCTAGACTACATAAACCTCTGGATTCCTGCCCCAGCACCAGATGGAGGGAGAGGGAATAGGGAAAGGGAGGGAATGAGAGAGGAATGAAGAGAAGAAAGAGAGAGAGAGTGCAGAGGAAGAGAGGAATGGGGGGAGGAGGCAGGGAGACAATAATAGCCATGTGTTTTATCCCATTTTCAGAATTCTCAATGAAAATAAATTAAATTATCCACTACTTCAAGTCTATCTTACTGAAGTTTCATTAATTGGAGGTAAGATATAAAGTTAGGCAAGACATAAATTTATAAATTGCAGGTTATTTAACTTGTACAAGAACATATGTCATGCTGATATGAATTAAGTCTTTAATTTTTAAATTTTAGCCTTCAGATAAAGATGTACTTATGAACAGTATAGAAAGGATCATCTTAAGAAATCTCTGGCTGTTACATTAATAAATGAGTGTTCAACTTTGGGGACTAGGAGCAAAAATTATAAGCATGTATTTTAGAAAAAAAAAAAACAGTGAAATTTGTCCAAGTTTGGTTTCTGTTGCCATGATAAAACACTGATCAAAATCTGCTTGGATAGGAAAGGGTTTATTTCCTCTTACATTTCCAGGTCACAGTCCATCACTGAAGGAAGTCTGCCCAGGAACCAAAGCAGAGACCACAGAGGAATGCTTCTTAGTGTTTTGCTTCCAATGGCTT